TCAGGGCAAGTGGGCTGTGCTGCAGAGCGACAGCTCTGCCCAGGAGCAGCTCCTCTGCGGAGCACAGCAGGGTGAAGGGCACTCCCAGGGTATCTCAGGGAGATGAGCAAGGCAGATGAAGAGCTTGAAGACTGTCATGACTGGGAGGCTGAGTGAGAGCTCAAAAGACCAGAAAGCTTTGCAGCCCTTGACATGGTAAGTGTCTGGGTGCAGGGCAATGCAGATGTGGTTCCTGGAGGCATCTCCTCAAGCTGGGACAGTGCACAGCTAGCAGAATCTGCAAGGAGGGGGCAGGATTTTTTCTTCCATTTTTAATAGCTGTGAAGCCATCATGTGCAGCTGGAGGTGCCCACGGCTGTCCATCACAGCAGGGTCCCTGCACCCCAGGGGGCTGTGTGCTGTGGAAAACATTCTTCTGCCTTCCAAGGTCAACACTCTTCCTGCCAAATGAACCCCTCATGGCATGACAGAGAGAAGCTGTGGGCTGAAGGAGCGACCTCTGTCTTGCAGGGCAAGGTCTTTCTGCTGTTGAGAGGATTCTGCACGTCTCAAGGCTGCTCAGAGCTCCAGATAACCCCTGGGACATTCCCCAGGGCACATTTCAAGAAGCACATCAAGGCAGGGGCTACCTGGGAGTAAAGGTGCTTCCCAGGGTTGGCGCTTTCCATTCCCTGCTGTGATGGCAGGAGGAAATGGTAATGGAGCTGTCAGGTTTGCACAGGAGACTGAGACTGCTACAGCATCACAGTGAGTGATGAACAGGGTTTTCAAGGCACCTGATAAAGTCACTTCACAATTTCCTCTGCCTACAGAAAGCATTAACATCACCTTTGTGGTCTCTTCAGGGTTGATCTGCTCTTCTCCTTAAGACCTGCCAACACAGAGGTGCCCCTGGGCAGTGCCCTGCTGCCAGGAGGTGTCTGCAGGGCAGAACTGAGCACACAGAGGGTGGGATGGGCTCTGTGAGCAGGGACAGGGAGGAGAGGTGTGGACAGAGCAACAGCTCCAGGCAGGGACAGCTCCAGGCAGCAGGGACATGGGCAGGGAGTGGGAGGAAACTGCAGACAAGCCCTGGGCTAGGCTGCCTTCAGCCTGCTCTCTTTTGGTCCCTCACTCTAGAGGTCTGCTGAGCACTATCTGCTGAGCAATGAGCTGACTCTCCATTTAAGACACCTCATCTGCAGGAAATCTCACTGTCTTCTTCTGTCCTGCTGGGCTTGGGAGCTGCCCTCCAGAAGAGCACGGCTGTGCTGTAGGATCCCAGGGAGTGCTGAGCCATCCCTCATGGGTTGCCTGTCTCCTCTCAGATTCTTTTGCTTCTCTCTGAGAGTGGCTGTGTCCTTTCCTCTCCATCACAACTCCAGCTCTGTGCTAGAAAAATGAAGAGTTTGCAGATCTGCCCTTTGAAGCAGGACTCCCTTGCTTTCATCAGAGTCCATTTGCTTTATTTTTAAAGAGTAATTTGTGCGTGCAGTTGTCCTTGAGATAGCAGAAATGAAAGCACAGGGCAGCTGGGACCAAGACTGATGGACACTGCAGCTCTCCTGAATCTGTCCTGAGACAGAGAGAGCTGAGATCTTTTGCCTGTCTTGTCCTAAGACTCCACACTTCCAGTCATGAAAAAGATATTTTCTACACTTAAAAATTGTACTTAACACATACAATGGTGGAAAGAGAAAAACACAGAGAAAATCACCATAAAGACATGCTAAGACTTTCTTCTGCAGCCCACACTCTTTGGAGAGATGAGTGCAGGTATTGAACATTTCCATGAAGGGTGAATTGCATCTGACATCCCTTGTGACCTTTGGGGGTGTCAAGAACGACCTCCCATGCACTCACTGCAGCAGGGCAGAGCTGACTCCCTAGCAGCACAGGGGCAGAGGTCCTGCTCCTCAAAGCACACTCAGCCAGCACAAAGCAAAGAAAGGAAATGCCTTGGAATATTGTGGGGCAGGGGAATTTCTATGAAAAATGGAGTGGCTTTGCTCAGAGAAGTCTGTTGTAATTTTCCTCCTCTGTCTTTTCCTCCTCACATCAACAACCAGCAAATGTCCAATGGAAGCTCCATCACTGAGTTCCTTCTCCTGGCATTCGCAGACAGACAGGAGCTGCAGCTCTTGCACTTCTGGCTCTTCCTGGGCATCTACCTGGCTGCTCTCCTGGGCAATGGCCTCATCATCACTGCCATAGCCTGTGACCTCCGCCTCCACACCTCCATGTACTTCTTCCTCCTCAACCTCTCCCTCCTCGACCTGGGCACCATCTCCACATCTCTTCCCAAAGCCATGGCCAACTCGCTCTGGGACAATACGACCATCTCCTACACAGGATGTGCTTCTCAGGTGTTTCTCATTTACTTTCTGATTTCAGCAGAGTATGTCCTTCTCACTATCATGGCCTACGACCGCTACGTTGCCATCTGCCAACCCCTGCACTACGGGACCCTGCTGGGCAGCAGAGCTTGTGTCCACATGGCAGCAGCTGCCTGGGGCAGTGGGTTTCTCTATGCTGTGCTGCACACAGCCAATACATTTTCAATTCCACTCTGCCAGGGTAATGTCCTGGACCAGTTCTTCTACGAACTTCCCCAGATCCTCAAGCTCTCCTGCTCAGATGCCTACCCCAGGGAGGCTGGGCTTATTGTGGTTAGTGCCTCTTTATTCTTTGCGTGTTTTATTTTCATTGTGCTCTCCTATGTGCAGATCTTCAGGGCCGTGCTGAGCATCCCCTCTGAGCAGGGACGGCACAAAGCCTTTTCCACGTGCCTCCCTCACCTGGCCATGGTCTCCCTGCTTGTCAGCACTGCTGTGTTTGCTCACCTAAAGCCCCCCTCCATCTCCTCCCCATCCCTGGACCTGGTGGTGGCAGTTCTGTATTCGGTGGTGCCTCCAGCAGTGAACCCCCTCATCTACAGCATGAGGAACAAAGACCTCAAGGATACAGTTTGGAAACTGATGACTAGAGCATGTTCAGAAGTAATCTACTGCCCATCGTCTTTTCCATATCTCTCATAACTCATGACAGGTACAGACTGTTATTTATATGTTTTCTAGTTGTTTTTATTGATCTCTGGGGGTTTGGGGGTTTTCTGTTTGTTTATTTGTTTCTTTTTCCACTTCTAATGATGTATTCCACAAAGAATTTTAATTATTTGTACCAATTCAAATTTTGTATCTACCTGTCTGGTTTGACCCAGAGACACTCTAAATGAATGTGATGAATTTAAACACTAAAAACGACCCTGCAGTGACATTTCTGACTGAGATTTTTTTTCTCTCTGCTGCAGAGGCAGTTCCTGTGTACAGAGTCCCTGCACAGCAGATCTCTGACAGAGCTGGCCTCTGTAACAGCATTTCCACCAGGAAAGGCAATCTCCTCAGGGCACTGCCCAAAGGCTTAACTCTTTTTCCAAAATGTCTCCTAAGAACATGCCCAAGGAAGAGACGCCAAAGAAAACTGTTGCTTTGCTTGTTTCTCCATGGGTGCAGTGGGATGAGATCAGGGTCCCAGTGGGCTCTTCCAGGGACTGAGGAATGGCTCAGGTGTTCCTTGTTGGTGGACAGCACCCACACAGATGCTGAATGGACTCCAACTAAGCTGCCTGGGGCTCAACAGCCTGTGATAGGGCTGATGGCAGATGAGTGTTTTTCTGGAAGGAATCAGGAGCTGCCAGGAGAGCACAGGGGATCTGCAGGGACAGCACGTGCCAGGAGGTCAGCAGGGAATGGAGCCCACTGAGCACGAGCCTGTGCAAGGTGAAGTGACCCAGAGATCAAGTGCAAAATGTGGGTGTGAACCACCAAGTGAGGGTTCTGCAAGCCCAGGGGACACAGCAGGCACAGGGAAAGAAGCCTGGAGGGTGATTTGTTTTACCAGCCGTGGACTTTCCATAGACTGGATCCAGTGCAGCACCCAA